CGGGACGGGAAGGAGGGTGGGTGGGTGATGTGGGGCCGCACTGGCACATCCTCTGGAACTGACTCTGGGAAATGCTGGGACAGGGCGGGTCCACGAGGATCCCATCTTGGTTACGATCGGTCCCACCTTCTTCAGCTGGGGCGGCAGGCCGGCGGAGAGGAAGGGACTCTTCCAAGAACACAGCGCAAGGCAATCCCAAAGGCCAGGCTTCCTCGTGCTCGCCGGTCTGGAGGTTGGAGGGGCCCGGGAGGCCTCCGTTAGAGACAGGGAGAAGAGCCCACCATGGCCTCATCCCCTCTTTGGGAGAGAAGCACTACGGCAGGAGCACACTCTTGGCTCAGATTCTCAGAGGCAATGGAAGCTCTCTCCCCAGCAGCGGGGAAAACTCAGCTCCGGACGGGCCAGACACACTCCCCACCCGCTCCTGATGCCGAGAGGGGTGGGGTGGGGAGCCGTGGGGCCGGGAGGTGCACCTGGAGCCATCTGGGCCAGGTCTGAGTTACCCTTTTCCCCAGGGCGACTCCCCAGGTACAGGTACAGTCAATGCCTCAGCCGCACCGCATTCAATATTCCACTTGGTAAAGATTTATTGAGTGACGACCATGTGCCAGGCAATGTACCAGGCACTGGAGCTAGTTTCCTCCCTCTCTTCCCCCCATCCTCCTTTCCTTCCTGCTTATTCTTCACTCACTCACTCATTCATCCATGCATTTATTCACTCATTCATTCAGTAACTACTGAACTATGGAGGCAGCACAGCTTTATGGGGGACAGTGATATTTGGAGCCAGACTATCAGGATATGAACCCTGACTCAGTCACTTACTGGCCGTGTGAACTTGGCAAGTCACGTAAGCTTGGTTTCCCATCTGTGAAGTGGTGATAATAATAGCACCTTCCTTGTAGGGCTGTGATGAGAATCGAATGATGCAGGCGAAGTGTCTGGAATAGCACCTGACATAGTAAACACTTCATAAACATCGGCTATCATCATTGTCGTTATGCGCCTGGCCCTGGGCCAGGCCCGGAGGAAATTGCTGTCAAACACGCCCTCCAGGGGACCCTGCATGTCGCCGCTGTCTGCCACTCTCTGCTCTGGTCTTCCTCCTCCAGCCCCTCAGCCAGGCCTCTGGGCCCAGGACTCTGCCTGGACTCAGGGGAGAAGCTCAGGGGACCAAGAAGGGACGCGGGTGGCTCAGGGGGAGCAGGGATGTAAAGAGATGGAGCGTGTGTCTGGGCCCCTGGGTTCAGGCCTGCTGTGCAACCCGGGTGACCCCTCCCACCGCTGAGAGGAGGACAGTGGCGTGGCTGGGCTCCATCGGCCCTGCCTGCTGAGGCTTGGCGTCTAGAGCCCATGGCTGGGTGAGAGACGGGGACCGGGGGACCTGGCATTGGAGGACCCCCCTCTCATTTCTGCGGAGGCTAGAGCAGGCCCTCTGCGGTGGAATGGGCCACAGGGACGGGTGGGCCGTGCGTGAGCTTGCCACGGCAGGGGCTGTGGCTGTCCCAGAGCCAGACTACAGCCACCGAGAGTAATGGGTCCTGCTCTGGACTCACCATCTGTGTGACTCTGGGTACGGAATTATTTCCCCATGCCTCAGTTTCCCCACCTATAGACAGCACTCACATGCCCACCCTACCAGCATCAGTAAGTGGCAGCTGTCCAGCCGGTGTAGCTCAGTGGTTGAGCATCGACCTATGAGCCAGGAGGTCATGGTTGGATTCCTGGTCAGAGCGCATGCCCGGGTTGCGGGCTCGATCCCCAGTGGGCGGCAGGAGAGGGGAACATGCAGGAGGCAGCCGCTCAATAATTCTCTCCCATCATTGACGTTTCCATTTCTCTCTTTCCCTCTCCCTTTCTCTCTGAAACCAATAAAAATATATTAAAAGAAAGTGGCAGCTGCCATTGCAGTTATGGGTCCTCACACCCCTCCCTCCACCTTGCCCAGGGCTCCGGGGGTGGGTGGGTGGGTGTTCCAGGTCTCAGGCCCCCATGGGGCTGGCCCAGGCCCCCGCTGGAGTGGGCGCCCTCCTCCCGGGAAGGGAGGCTTGCTTTGGAGTGCTCCTGCCAGCCCCTCCCTCCAGACTTGGCAATGCAAAGACAGCGCTGGCCAAAAATATTTGTGTGGGTGGCGGAAAGTTAACTTTTCCGCCTCTCTCTTCTTTCCTGGAAACCGTGGCCACCATCAAATACAGCAAAACAGAAGCAGGGGTAGAGCGTGAGGCCCCGTGGGGCGTGAGAAGGAGCCCGGCCCCCGTGCCCACTTCTTCTGCCCCCAGCCATCTGGCCCTCTGTGGGGTGGGCGGCGGAGTGGGGGCTCCAAGTGCTTAGAATCATGGCATCCTGCAATGCCAGGGCTAGGCAGACACCTCCCCCACCCCCAACATCCTTTGTCTCAACCCCACCATTGTGCGTTGGAGCAAAATGACTCCAAAATGCAGAAAGCACCTGCCCAAGGTTCACATAGCCAGTTAGGGCTCTTCAGAATTCTTCTGGCCTTTTATGAGATTCTAAGATTCTCTGAAATGCTAATGCCAGAAATCTGGCAGCAGCTGATGCGTGAGAGAGAATTTGGAGAGGAACGAGGCCTTGGAGCGCTCTCTGCTGTGTCTCTGTACCCACCATCGCGGCCTAGTGTCAGAACTGGGGTCAAGTCTTGGCCCTGTCACTCTGTGACTTAGGCCAGAAGTCTGAGCCTCAGTTTCCTCACCTCTGCAAGGGGGTAATAGTAACCGTCCTCCCCCTCAGGGGCGCTGTGAGGGTTTGATTGCCCTAAGTGAAGAGCCCAGCAACCAATGGGTGTTCAAACTTCTCTAGACAGAGGCTGGCTTCTGTCAGCGAGGCAGCTGTGACAGGTGCCCGTTACCTTCCTGATCCCGATACCTGTTTGCCTTCCCCGGTTTGGCATTGATTTCTCCAGGGCCTGCTAATGGGCTTACCCTCCCTCTTGCCTACCAGACTCTCCCTGGCACAGCTCCAACCAGAAGCGGAGGCCCTGACCCAGCCTGCCAGGGTGGGGGTGGGGTGCCTAGGCACCGAAGCCTGGCCTCCAGGTCAAGTACCACAGCAGCTGAGGTCAGTCCAGGCCCTGAGGTCACCAATGTCCACAGACTTTCACAATTCTCAGGACTCTCACTGCCCCCGGGACAGCCAGGGTGTGTGTAGGGTTCTCCTCTCCCTGTTTGCAAAGGGTGAGATTCAGGTGTTCACACCTGCAAAGCTCACACAGCTAAGAAGCAGTGGAATCAAGAGCTGTTAACAGCCGAAACCGGTCTGGCTCAGTGGATAGAGCGTCAGTCTGCGGACTGAAGGATCCCAGGTTCTATTCCAGTCAGGGGCATGTGCATTGGTTGCAGGCACATCCCTGGTGGGGGGTGTGCAGGAGGCAGCTGGTCGATGATTCTCTCTCATTGATGTTTCTAGCTCTCTATCTCTCTCCCTTCCTCTCTGTGAGAAATCAATAAAATATTAAAGAAAAAAGAAAAGAGTGTTTACCGGGATCTGCCAATTCTAAGTTTTTCTCCCCTGGCCCTGTGTCAGGTCTGCCTGCCCATCTTGGGGCATCTTGTCCACCTCCCCACTGTGCCTCCATGAATGATTTGCGAGCCTTTGTCTCCAGCCTGAAACATCTCCCCCAGAAATCCCAAATCGAATCCATCTCCCTGTTCCCCTGAACACCTGCTCCTCGGCTCCTTCCCATTTATTCCTGAGCTCTATTGATGAAAATCACAAAACCACACTGTCACCGGAGTTGCATCCTAGACTCCTCCCCCTTCCTCCACACCCACTCTCCATCTGCTTCCCAGCCCAGCCAATTCTTCCAAGTTTCTCTCCCATCCATTCCCCCCTCGCATCCCAATAGGAAGGCTCCAGTCCTGACTCCTGTGTAATCATCATAGTTAACATTTCTAAATCATCATGCTGTTATTATTACTCCCTATTATCATCCACAGCTCCCACCACCACAGGATTTTAAGGCTCCATGAGCCAGACTACCATATCTTTTTTATCTCCACTGCATTCCCCAGGTCTCTTATAGAGTCTGAAAGGTGATAAGGACTGAAGAAATGTTTTGTGGGATGAAGAAATAGCCAACATGTATTAAGTTGCACCTCAGAAACTGTGCTAAGTCCTCTGCTTGCATTTTATCACTTGATCTTTTTTAAATACATTTTTATTGATTTCAGAGAGTAAGGGAGAGGGAGAAAGAAACATTAATGATGAGAGAGAACCATTGATCGGCTGCCTCCTGCACGACCCCTACTGCGGATAGAACTCAAAACCCGGGCATGTGCCCTGATTGGGAATCGAACCATGACCTGGTTCCTAGGTCAATGCTCAACCACTGAACCACACCGGCTGGGCTCACTTAATCATTAATGCAACACTATGTTGGAGATGTTATAGTTCCCATTTTACAGATGGGGAAGCTGAGGCTCACAGAGGTCAAGTGACTTGCTGCCCATCATGTGAGCAAGCGGCAGAGCTGGGATTCCAGCTGAAAGCCTGTCATGTAAGCACATCACTGTACCGTCTCCCTTGGTGCTCAGCCTTCTCCGGGGTCCCTGTCCCCAGCCTTGTGCCCTCTGACCCACCGTTTCTGTGATTCCTGTGGCAAGATGCGAGGGAATTCTGCCCAGAAAAGTATTGTCAAATAACTAGGTATTTATTTAATGTGTATTGGGAAAAAATGACTTAGCCCAACATACTTGTGGTTTTCCTGCAATCATTGCCTAAGCCCAAAGTATTAGAAGTTATATAAAGTTGATTTGCAGAAAAACATTAAGCAAATAAAGTGTCAGATGGCATAAGGATATGGCAGCCAGCGGGGATGTGGAGTGCCCGGACCTTGGCACTTGCCGGTGGACATGTGTGGGACCTGGACCCCCCGCCAGTTCTCAGGGCGGCCTGAGGGGGCCAGGCCTCACGGACTCCGCTGGAACCGTCCGAGAGCCGTCTCACGGGCTGTTTCCTCTCTCCCCGCACAGACAGACCATCTTGACGTGGGGGCCTCGCTGACCAGAGAAGGTTAAGGACAGCGTGGGGGCCACCACCCACCAGCCCGGGAAGGCCGGCGTCGGACCCGCCCAGCGCTGTGAGTGGCCGGAGGAAGTTAAAGCTGCAGAGGCCCCAGGAGGCCGGCGAGGAGCTCACACAGGTGGCCTGCATCCCTGCAGAGGCGGCATCATGCTGGGCCCCCACCTGCCACCCCCGCCCCTCGGACCCAGCGAGGGCCGGCCTTCCCCCTGTGCCTTCCGCATCCCGGACGGGAGCTACCGGTGTCTGGCCTTGGAGGCCGAGGAGAGCGGCGGCGAGGAGAGCCTGCAGGGCGAGGCCGGGCCCCCGGACGTGGAGGAGGACAGGGTGGCCAGCAGGCATGGGGACAGCTCCATCTACAGAGCCTCCCCAGGGGCACCAGAGCTGCCCAAGGCCCTGGGCACCCAGCCACCCAGCTTCTCCAGGGAGGCACGGCGGGAGCCCCGGCATGACACCAGGGCCGGCCAGGACTGGGACGTGGTGAAGGCCCGGCAAGTGACGACAGCCAGCCCCAGCCCCAGCCCTGGCCCCGGCCCTGGCCCTGGGACCAGGGTTCCCCAGAAACCAGGTAAGCACATGGCCCATCTCCCCCGGACTTAACACAGGGGCCTTTGGCCATATTTCCCCATGATGCACAGCAGCCCCTCACAGGCCCAGGGGCGTGCCCAGATGGACGGGGAGGCTGTGAGCGGCGTGCACCTCCAGCTGTCCCACATCGAGGGCCGTCTCTCTGCTAACCAGGGAGGGCTGTGGAAAGGCGGTGAGAGACAACTGTGCCAGGGCGCTTTGTTGGAAACAAATCCATCTCTCACTTCTGTCTGCCCTTCAGTCGTTGGTGCTCACAAATGACTGGAGAGGGGGAACAGCTGATGGGAGGCGGGACTGGCTGGTTGAAGGTATTGAGTGCCAGCTACTGGAGGGTGCGAGGGACCCAGCCCTGGGCAAAACAGGTGTGGTTGCTGCCCCTCACAGAGCTTATGAGGTAGAGATTGAAGACTGATCTAATCTGACCTGCTAATCTTAGCAGGGGCGGGGGGGTGGGGGTGGGGGTGAGGGTGGGAAACTGAGGCCCAGAGTGAGGAAGCTAAGGACCAGGTCATTCAGCCTGTCGGTGACCCAGCTGGACGCACACTCCTCACCCAGGCCTCGGCTGTCCATCTGGTAGCCATGACAAATGCAGGACCCACATCACCTGGGCTGCGGCGAGGACCCGACCATAAGGGGTAGGGGAGAGCTCCGTGCCAGCTGCCTGCACAGAAGGAAGGGAGGGAGGGAGGAAGGAAGGGCGATAATAGTCCTCAGAGCGGGGCGGGTCAGGAAAATCGACACTGAATCACCTCCACCGGCAGCCCATGGAAACGCTGAAGTGGGTCCAGATGGGGAGGACGGGAACTGGGCCGTGCTCGCTCAGGCCCAGGAGGGCTTGTGCGTCAGAAAACCGAAGGAACACTTCATTTCTCTGCGGGCGTTGCTGACGCCCCGGTTGGCATCTCACCAGCCATCCTGCCCACTCTTTTTTTCTGAAATAATTCTTTCCGGGCTCTGATCACCCACCCCCGAGACCACCCCCCCGCCACCTCCCACACTTGGGTCACACAGGGAGCTGGGCAAACACAAGGAGGGGCAGGAAGGAGGAGGGCACAGCAGCCTTGAACTTGCAGGTGGGCCCTCACACCAGAGTCAGCCCACATTCCCTTCCCCTGGAGCCTGAAAGCCAGGGCCTTGCTTCCTTCCCTCTCACAGACCAGGGATGGGAGCCAGGAGACTCGGATGCTGGTCTGGGACCCAGGCCAACTAGCCAAGCCCCAGCAAACCCCTGCCCCTGGGTGAGCCTCAGTTTCCTCATCTGTGAAAGTACGTAAAGCTACGAGCCCTACCTACCTCATAGAGCTGCTGTGAGCTGCAATGATCTTAGCTGGGGCAAGGTTTTGGAAATGTGAGAGCAATCTAGAAAAGCTTGTGAGGATGTTCGTAATTAAAATGCTCATCATCGGCTCAACAATACAACAGCTATTATTTGTTAAGCCGTTATGAGCCAGGCCCTCTGCGCTAAGAGCTTTACACATGTCATTTCATTTTTTCTCATGAGGACCCCAGGAGAGACATACTGTTATTATCTCCCATACACACATGAGAGGACTGAGGATCAGAGAACATACGTGATTTGTCCTAGACTCATGGCTAGCAAGCAGCTAAGCCATGATCCAATCACAGCTTTTTTTTTTTTTTTTTAAATAAGGGTCTTTGGCTGTGGCCACCACTGTATTCTGATTTATAAGAAGTGTGGTCTGCTGACACCTGGGGTGGAAGAGACCGTAGAAGGAGAAGGGAGAGGAAGGGACTACATATAACGAATCCTGCTGGCTTCTCAGATGGAGCTAGATCTGTCGTGTCTCCTTCTCACTGATCTCACTACAGCCTCTCAGGGCAGGAATGTTCCCATTGTACAGGTGAGGCGACTGAGGCTCAGAGACTGAGGCCCTTTGCCCAAGGTCACCAAGTCCGTGTTGGAGCTGAGACTAAGGTCGTGCTCTTGCCTCACAGTCTAGTTCATTCCCCTCTCAAACATCCAGCCAGATGGTCCTCCAGTTCTGCCCTGAACATTTCTGGGGACAGAGGAGACAGAGTGGCCTCGGGAGGATGGAATGGCAGGGAAGACTCCTCAGAGGTGGAGGCGGGAAGGGAGCTGGCTCTTGCAGGAGAATAGGAACCGCATGCTCTGGGGCCAGAGCCACACTGGCCTTCTGCTCCCTGGGGAAAGGGAGTGGTCAGAGTCCCTTCTCTCACCCAGAGATCCGGAGGGAAGAGGCCGACGGAGCTGCCAGGTTTTTAGTGGATTAGGGCTTCCTTTTAAAGCTTCCTCCCATTCCCCTAGAGGATTATAAGCATCTTCAGACAATTACACCGTCCTCCCACCATTATAACTGCCTCTCTTGACAGCTTTAAGTATGGGTCATGACATCTTCTGCCTTGGGTACCCACCACTTGGATGGGTGGGTACAGTGCCATTGCTCTAAGGCACATGTGTCAAACACAAGGCCCGCGGGCCAAATCCGTCCCGCCAGGCCTTGCAATGTGGCCCGCACCTCGCTGTCATCACTGCACTCCGCTGCGTTTCCATCACAATGACAGTTTATGACTGTTCAGTAAACCATTCGGCCCGCGATTTAGGCTGGATTTTAGATTTTGGCCCCTTCTCTGAGTTCGACACCCCTACAGTCTAAGGCCTGAGTACCAGCTGAGCAGGGCAGAATGGGGTCCTTGGCTGGAGAGTCAGACAGGGAGCACAGACAGATGAGGTGGGCAGCAGTTCAAGCCCCCAGCTGCTGCCAACGTGGGAGAATATATGAGGAAGGAAGGCTCATTATTAGGCCTCAGCCCGAACTTCTTAGTCCACAGCTCACCAACAGAGCCCCCTGAGGCAGAGAGGATGTCCTCTCTGCAAAGTCTCAGCCCGTCATAACTGGAAGGACTCACTGAGATTGCTGTGGAGATAATATGGGGAGACTCGGAAGCCCAGAGATGGCAATCAACTTGCTCAAAGTCACCCAGTAAGTCGGTGGCAAAGCTGGAGCTAGAACCCAGGGCTTCTGCCTCCCAGCTCAGCTGCCAGGCTCTGAGCTAAATGCTTTGTATGGGTTACTTCTGTCATCCTCTAACTAAACCTAAAAAATTCATACTTCTCTTATCTGTTTCATAGATGAGGAAACCAAGGGGAAAAAAAAAAAAAAAGAGTGGAAGGGTTACTTCATTTTACCCTCCAAATAGCCCTGAGGAGTTCATACATTTCTTATCTCTGTTTCATAGATAAGGAAACTAAGGCAAAGTCTCAGGCCTGAGGCTGGAGGAGCTAGGAGTTGAACCCCCGGGAGGTGTGGCCCATGCTTTCCACTACCCTCTGCATCGCCTTGTCTCCATGGAGCTGAGGCAGCAGGCTGTGTTCTTCCACCCACTGGGCTGGGGAAAGGCTGATCAGGCTCTGGGGGACGGGAGGGGACTCTGCGAAGCCATCTTCTTCCCCCGGGGAGGCACTAGGACTCACACTGACCTCACGTATGGCTTTGGGAAAGTGACTCTCCCTCCTCTCCAGGCCACGTGGTATTGGGGGTTTGGGGTACCTTCTGGGGTGAATCTGGGTTGTCAGATGAGCCCCGCCCCCTGGCCATGTCTATCTAGAGGAGGCAGAGGAACCCGTGCCCACGATAAGAGCTGACATTGGTCACTGGCCAAGGACATGGCCCTGCTCCTCAGTCCTGTGGGGGAGAGGGCAGTCAGAGAGGCAGGGTGCCACCCACTTCTCCTCCTGCTCCCCAACTCTACAGGCACCGTCATAGGAGGGTGATGGTGTAGGAACAGGGCTCACAGATTCCTGTATGCTTCACATGTACACTAACACCCCCTCACACCCTCACAAACATGCATGTAAATACACATAGTGTATATATACCATGTGGTATGCAAACATGTGTATACTCACATCTGCACACGTGCATGCCCTCAGGCACCCACACACCCATGCATGGGTATACATCCATCAATATCCTCCCACAAACCCCCCTGACCCATACATGCCTTTCACATGTATATGATTTGCATACTTAGCTACAGTCCCACCTGAAACATGTAAGCACACAGATTCCCTCCTCCCTTAGATACAGGTTAAATCATGATCTTTCCTCCATTTTCTCTTGCTCACACACCTACACTCTGCAATCTCTCTTACATATGCACACGTTTTCCTTCATAGGCATTTCCACTCTTGCACGCCCACTGCCACACACCCATGTACAGAACGAACCACTTTCTGTCCTCCTTCCTTTCCCCATCTCTTTCTCTTTCATACCCACCCACACAGTAATCCTAGCCTTTCTCTCTCCTCTCACCCACACAGTTTGTTTCCTGGTTTCCCACAGGCTGGGCTGTAGCCACTTTCTTAGCACACGCACTCCCAGGGCAGGCAATGTACCCTGCCTCGTGCCAATCTCCAGGGCCCCTCTGTGCCTCCCACCCCCACTCGGGGCAGCCCCAGCACAGGGGCGTCCACAGTGCCAGGGGGATTCTCTGTGACCCAGGAGACAGAGTGGCCAGGGAGGGTTTGTCCTCTGTCACCGGACCTGCGCTCCGAGCCCGCCCACTGGGGCTGGGGAATGTCCCCAAACCGGGCCACCTGCAGCTCCGGGTTTGGGTGCACACCAGCACATTTCTGACTTCCTTCGGCAGAAATCTAAACACAGAAAGAACCTGACATAAAAGACAAATGAAAGTGGAACCACCCTGACTGCAGGACTGGGGTACATGGAACCCAGGGAAACTTGGGTGAAAACCTAGGCCAGCATCTTCCCAAGTGTGGTTTTGTTTCAAAATGGTTGGGAGAGGGAAGGGTGCTTGTTCTCAGTCCTGTTTCCAAGCCCCGGAAGTCCCCCCTTCACTGGGAAGGGGCGCCAGAATGTGGGAATCTTGGCTTTTAGCAGCATCCCATGTGATTTCCATGCACACTGATTGCTGCCTGCCACGGGGCTCTGCTGGGCTCAGTCCCAGTGGGGTTTAACTCAATGAAAAGATGGGGAA